GCCGCCGCCGCCGCCCGTGCCCTGCTCCGCCTCGTCCGCCGCTCTCCCCGGCTGGGGCTTGGGCATCTCCGCCGGCTGCGGGAGAAAGAGGGCAGAAGGAAGGGAGGGCGCGATCAGAGCCCGGCCGCGGCGGGCACAGCTGGCGGAGCGGCGGCAGCGGCAGGAGGTGGAGCCGTCGCCGCCGCCCGCCCCGACCAGGTTTAAAGGGCTGGACGCGCCGAGCGCAACGCTGCCGCCAGCCAGCTCAGCCCCGCGGCGAAGGACGCCCCTGTCGCTGGGGCTGGAGCGACGCCGGAGGGCGCAGCGGGGGATCCGCCGCGCAAGCGCTTGTCCTCCTCGTGCACGGGCCGGGCGAGCTGCTCGCACGGATTATTTCTTCATTGATCCCATTTATATGGCCAGCATATATTCCAGATCAGCGGGGGCCTTTCTGAAGGGTCCGGCGAGCCCGGCGCCCAGAGTCACTCTTTGCTGGAAGCTGTGGCTGGTCCCAACCGCTAGGCCGTAAGGGACGGCTGGCAAGCCATAATGACTTAGCACCCTGCGCGCATCGTTCGTCCTTTATATCTGGGCTCTGGCATCTGGCAGAAATTCAACCCAAGCGACAGCCCTGGTGGGAAGCCCGGCCAGGCGGATTTCTGTCCTTCCTACAGGAGAAGAGCCAACGCCCCACAGGCGTTCAGAAACGTCTTTCAATTGAGCCACATGGAAAGTGAGCTTTTCACCCCCTGGGTAGCCGGATTCCTCTGCCCTGGAAATCCCATTGCTCCCCTCCCCTTGCTCCCTGCCTGCAGGCCTGTAGCTGGAAATGAAAAGCAGCAAGGAGAATTAAAGGAGAAGAGTCAAGGCAACAGAAACCAGGACACACAAGGGAAGGCTAGATGCTTTTGAAAAATTAATCAGGGGAAGACTGGGTTGCTCTTTGGATGGGAGACCACCAGGAAGTCCTAAGACCAGAGGCTAGACTGGGAAGTCAATGACCCATCCCAGAAGAAAGCAATAAAGACTGAAATTGCCCAGATTAATCCATGCAGTTGCCAAGAGTTGAGCTCAACTCAAAGGAGATTTTACATCTTTTGTACAAATACACAAGGGCTTAGTCAGAATTCTCCTCTCTTGTTCAATAGGCCTTCTTCCCAAGGGGCAGGGTTCCTCAACCTTAGCAACTTTAAGATGGGTGGACTTCAACTCCCAGGCTGGGGGATTCTGGGACTTGAAGTCCACACATCTCAAAGTGGCCAGGTTTGAAAAACACTGTTCCTAAAGGGTCATTGTCCACCTGAACTCCTGCCTTAGGTCCTCGCAAGCAAAGGAGATTGAATTCAACGAAAGGGGAACATTTGAGGGAGGCTGCGGGACTTTTGTGTCTCTGAGGCTGGCCGAGTCACGTCTGGGTCCAAATAACTGCTATAATTCATAACCTCCCAAGTGGAGGGCAGAAAATAGCATGCTGGTCCAAAAACATCAGCAGAAAAAAACCCAAACCATATCCTTTCATTCCATTTTAAGAGGCAGACTTGAAAAGTTACGAAGCATCAGATCACATGGGGGAATATCCCTTCCCGGAGCACCGGTGATGGAGACCTCAGTGGGCAGAAAGGCCGGCTTAAGGCACCCCTGGGCTTCCCCAGCCTGCTCTCTTCCAGATATTTTGGAAAGGGGCTCCCTGATCCGAGCCCGGGGGATTAAGGGGGCTCCTTTCCTCCAGAGCAGGTGAGCCCAGGGTTGCGATATGCTGGCTGGGGAATTCTGGGAGCTGAAGTCCACCCATGGTGGCTGGGGAATTCTGGGAGTTGAAGTCCGCGTGTCTTAAAGTCGCCAGGTTGGCGAAAGGCTGGAATAGGCGATAAGGCGTCTTCGCGCCCAGCCTTCCATCCTTTCGGCGGACAAACGCAGCCAGCTTCCCCTTTCCCCCAACTCTGCGTTCGACTACAGCGCTCATCATCCCCAGCCCCGTCCCCCTCCACGCCGAGCCCCCTGCTCCGGCCTCGCGCCTCCTCCGAGCCCCCTCCCATCCAGCATGATACTCCTCCCGGGAGGGCTGCAGAGATTACCTTTCGCCATGCTCCTCTGCTTTTTTTGACGCTCGCGGCAAA